TATATAATATCTATTTTTCATATTTATATATAATATATAGATATTTAATATATATGTATATCTATAATACTAAAAACAAAAGCAATTCTTATTATGAATTTTTATTCTACCTGCCAAATTATATGACATTTCGATTTATTAACATTTAAAATTTTAGTAATTATTAAACACTTAAATTAATTGAGTATGTAACATTTTGATCGCATCAACAAACCGCGATCATCAATTCCACAAAATATTTACAATATGAAAACTTAACAATTTTTTTAGTACATCAACCAAAATAACATTCATCAACAGAAAGAAATAAGTTATTGAACAGGTTATTATTATATATTTGTATTATTTGCATAATCTAATCTTTATTATGTATTAATGTATAATATATAAATTTAAAATTATTACAAAATATATATGATATTATTATTCTTATTTTTCTCTATTTTTCTATCATTAATTTACAAAGGACAAAATGAGTCGACGTCCAGGTCTAACAAGAACTGAACAACTTCGTCAAGCCAAAACTGCCAGAGAGCTTGAAAGGATGCAAGAAAGAGCTGCAAGACTTCCTCCACCAGAACCATTAAAAGTACGCAAACGGTACATTAGGCCTGAACCAAAAAAATTGGACTTCGCTAAACCAGGAATGACTAAAGCAATGTTAGCTAGAATAAAACAAGCTGAAAAATTTAAACAAGAATATGAACGTAAGCGTGAAGTTCAAGTACCTAAGAGAACACCTGCACCAATAGGAGGTGATCCCAGGTTGCCACGATAAATTTAATTATAATAAACGATAATAATAATTATCAATAATTTTTAAATAAATAATAAATTAATTTTTTCTAATTTTTATTATTTGTATTATATTATTATATTGAAATATTAAATAATATATAAGAAAATAAATTAAATAATTTAACATTATCGTACAAAATTATTTTAAATTAGATTTGGTAGAGAAAGAATACCACCAAGGCGTCCTCCACGCGCACCTCCGGCTGTAACTCCACGACCTGTAACTCCAGTTGCTGGACCTAGTGTGCCCCGTGTACCTACTCCTCCTAGAAGACCTGTTACTCCAAAGAAACCTATACCTAAAAAAACCACTGATTTAGCTAAAATGATGAATGCTGATGTAATTCAAGCTGAACCAGTTGGTGATGGTGTAATAAATAATATTGTAATACCTCCTGGAGCAGTAAATGAAGAACGTACTACCATTATTAGTGTAGCACAACCACCTGTAGAAGAAACACAAATATCACAAGCAGCTAGTCGTTCAATTCAAGTGATCAGGTGATTTTATAAAAATTTTTTTTTCTGCAATAATAACAAAGCATATTTCACTTTTGACAGTGAAACTCTTAATGAGCAAGATGCTGCAGAATCTGCAGCAGTTCAAAGTAAATTAGCAGATTTGCAACAAGCTAGGAGAGATTTTGTTATTGCGGCTGCAAATGTTGGTGCTAGTGCTTTCACTCTTGAAGATATCACTCCTCCTGAATTATTTGATATCACTCCTCCTCCATCTATTGCTGCTCCTGAAATTGTTCCTCCAAGACGATATATGCGGTAATATTTCATATATTAAATAAATATTCATACATTATATTCATATATTCATATATAAAATAAAATAAAATTTTTATAATCATTATATCTACATAATAATAATGATGCTTATATAGAGTTCCTGAATTACATGAAGAATTTTTACAACCTGAATATGGTATAGACCATCCAGATATTATTGCTGCTCGTGAACATATGAGAAAAGTTAAAGCTGAGATACAAGCAAGAGAAGCAGCTAAAAGAATAGAAGAAGAATTTGAAAGACTTGAAAGATTACAAGCAGCTGCAGAACAACCAGAAGAAGTACCAGTAGATGTACCAGTACCTTTAGAAGAAGATATTGCTTGGGAAGAACGAGAAGGCATAAGAATAAAAGCTCATATTCCTCCTGTTCCTAAATTACCAGAACCTTATCAATATGAACCCTTTGATCCTGAACAATTAGAAAGATTTTTTGATATTCAAACTTATCCACCTTGTGAACCATGTGGACCACCACCAGGTAGAGAACATTTACCTCCTGATTTGTGGGAATTAGAAGATCCATGGTATAAACCACCTCCAGAAGATGAGCCAGATTTAATGGAATTTTCAGATTTAATAAAATTTTGAGTAATCAAAAATTTTACATTTCTAAAGTTTGCTATATATATTTTTTTATTTTAATTTGCTGTAAAATACTTATGTTTTACATAATATATAGATGTAAATAATAGCAATAATTTTTTAATTTTACCAAATAACATATAATTAACAAAATTTATATTTAATTAAAATAATTAAACATAAAATATTCTATTAGCAAAAAAGTAAAAATTACATTTATAAGTACAAGTAATATAATTTATATTAATATATTTTTTTATATTTTTAAATAAAATTTATACGAATATATTTATCAATCATAAACAATTAATGTATTGATAAATATAATCAATCATCAATAACCAATAAGATATAATACGAAAATATTAATGATTGAGATTTATAAATTATCATATGAAATATTACATATTTGATTAACGTTGTAGATATAAATGCGACAAATCCATAATCCACAAATTTAATATGTTATATAGTCTTATAATTATATCTCACAATAAAAAATTAGCAAAATTTACACTGAACATATATTTATTAATAATTGTATATATTTTATTTAATTATGAATTTAATTATTTTATTATCATTCTATTCATATGACAAATTCTATTCATATGTATATATATTAATTATGAATTTTTTAATTCTATTTCAAATATTTATAATATATCTTTAATAGACAAACTCTAAAAAAAATTGACTATAATTGTCAATAAATTATATACATGTATAAGTATCACGAGTATAATGGCGACACCCACTAATGGTAACGGTAATCTTATCGATGAATTTGAGGAAGCATTTCAGGTATAATATTAAAAATATTTTAATTTTTATCATATTGATTTTTTAAAACCATATTTTGATGAAATTTATTTTTTTTTTATATATAAAATGCAATTTACAGCAATGTTTGAGTATATTAATAACGAAAGACGAAGGGTTAGGAAACAATGGAATTGGAGTGTCTGGTGGTTTGACTGTGGATAAAGAAGAAGCACGTAGTGAAGTTGAACAAGTTACATTGAGATTTATAGATCTGGCAAGACAAATGGAAGCTTTCTTTTTGCAAAAAAGATTTTTATTATCTGCATTAAAACCAGAATTAGTAGTAAAAGAAGATATCAATGATCTTCGAGTAGAATTAGCACGTAAAGAAGATCTCATAAAAAGACATTATGATAAAATTACAGTGTGGCAGAATTTATTAGCAGATTTACAAGGTTGGGCAAAGTCTCCAGCTCAAGGTCCAGCACCTAATGGTAAGAACTGTAAAAAAAATATCTATTTTGATAGCGTAATAAATAATTTTAATATACTTTAGGTTTACCAAATGGTACTCAAAGTGGACAAAACCAACAAAGTGCCAATGGAGGTGGAAATACAACAATGCAACAACAACAACAAATATTACAACATCAACAGCTTCAACAACAACAACAACAATTGCAACATCTTCAGCAACATCAAATGCAACAACAACTTCATCAGCAACAGGTATTTAAGTAATACCGTTACGAGCAAAGCTGAAACTCTTCTATTCAGGCAGCTGTTTAAAATTAATGTTGAAAACATTTTTTTGAAATAACATATATATAATTTAATATTTTAAAAAAAATATGGGCGACAGCGAAAATTGTACATTTATAAAAAATTACTTTTGCTGTAGCAGTTATAGT